ATAAGGGTACCAATATTAGTATTATCATTTTAAGTGACAAGCTATATGATATTTATCATTAGTCCCTTAGTTGATTTCGCGGAGGAACATATATTTAGACTTTAGGTCAGTTAACAGTAGTTCATTAGTTGACTTCTAGCTTCCCAGTATCTCAGGGTTAGCATCGTTGTCTTTAGGGCTGGAGACCGAATTAGATGGCCATTCGGGTATGTCGGAGAGTGTTACTGTCACTGTTTCTCCTTTGTTCGAGCTTTAAGTTTGTTGCACCTTGAAGTCTTGAATTCTCTCCTGATTAATGTCTTCATTGTGTGGAATGATATCAGTCGGTCTATGCCTTGCAAAATTGTTGTCCCCTTCTTAGCCTTTAATATCCATTGAAGAATTACTGTTTTGTTTATTTCTGTCAGTAATTGATACAGTTTTTACATTCGTATATCTCGCCTGTTTTGGGTGGTTCTCTATTTCCGATTGAATTTATTGTTGACTGTGAGTTCAAAAGAATTACTGCTTTGGTGAATTTCGTAGGGCATCAATGTGAAGTAGCGCATTTGGCAAGCAGATTTTTGAATTCAGTTTGTGTCCAGTTACCGTTTTTTAAGCACAAAATTTTTTATTATTATTCATGACAGATAATATATGAAGCGTCCGCTGGTTACTACTGAAATTTTTCTTCAAGTGTTTGCAGTCCGCAAGTGTCAATTTTGGTTCATATGATTTGAATCGGAAAATATGAATTTCAGGACAACACACACAATTAAAATTCCCGACTAAACCAGATTATTCTTTAGATACGAAAATTTCATTACAGTAAGTTGTGTGACCATAGTCCAATTTCAGGCACACTTCATCCGCAATGTTTGTTTGAATTGATTGGGAATTAGGGTTAACTTTCATCAACTATTGCAAAGATGAGTGGAAGAGCGCAAAAAGTCATCCCTTTATTACCCCCAATTGTTTCAAACGATGTTAGTGGGAGTAAACAATGCCAATCTCAAAATCTAAAGTCCATTCTATTCCCTAGTCAAGGTGGTATTACCTTTCAAAACCTTCTTACGTGAAATAATCCATTAGGAAGCCCTAAATCAAGGTTATCAAAAGCAGGAAAGACTGTGCCAGAAGTCATGCTTCAAAATGATAAACCCACAAATTATTAATGAACTCACGAAAATTCAGGAATTTAAATTGAAGTTGATTACCGCTCGAGAGGAGACTGACAAACTTCAAACATAATGGGAGTTATATTATATTATTAAATAATAAATTGCCTATTAGTACTCCTCAATAATATGTTTTAAAATAATTTTTTTTCACAATATGGCGCCTGACACAATTAAAGTTATCATATTTTTTTGCAAATAAATGAATGCATTATGCTTTCCATTTGTAAATATGGCGTGCTTATCCATTTTAGGCGGGCGAATCGGCCCTGCATATCGCTTGCCGATTGGTGAATCTCAACAGCGTAATTGCTCTTACCGCTGCCAGTGTTAATCCAAATATCATCTCCAATGTATGCCAATCCCTTTTATACCCTCTTTGTTGCACGTGATTCTCACAATTACGAATACTTACACCTATTTATGCTTTTTTTAGGATGGAGATACTGCACTGCATTTAGCTGTACATAAAGGATCTTTGGAAATCACTCGTGTTCTTTTGGGACGATTTGCCAACCCGAATATCACAGATAGTGTATGGATGACCTTGTTGTGTAAACTGCACCAAAACCTCAACTCATAACTTCACTTAATTAATAAACTGTACCTTAATAGCAATTAAAAGCAACTTGTTCATTGTCTCAGACAAAGAACCCCCCCCCAATTTATCGCCACAATATTTTGTTATTTATTTATGTCAAATGGCAGGCGTCTTGATGGTTATCATTAGCCCTTTAGTTGACTTCAGGCTTCACAGAGGAAAGGAACATCAAATTGAAAAAAGTCGAGAGGGGGGGGGGAACAGAAGAGTGTTTCAAAGATGTAAAAGACAAACACAAAGGTGGAAAAAAGGTGAGGTGAGCGTTGTGGAAATAGTTGAATATGGCATAGAGTGAGGTGATGGTCGTTTGAAGTGAGAAGTCAACTGCCAGTTAATAGACCCTTTTGCCGTATGAAGATACGTTGCCCAGGGTGCACCACGAGGAGGTAAGTCCATCTCACACTCCCAATCCTTTGTTATGGAAACGTGGAGATTGCCACAAAAGTGCTAGCCTGCATCCAAAATGTGAATTTTTTGGTCTACTTTAAGATTCACTCAGCTCTGAGTGGCTAGATTGTTGCAGTGATTATTCTGCACATGTCTTTAATAATTTTTAAATTTTCTTTAGAACGGAAACCTGCCTCTTCACTTGGCTTGCGCTGCGGGTGATCAGTTGATAAGCCAAATTCTTTGTGAAAACGGATCCAGGGTCAATTCTCATAATCAAGTACGTTCCTTTCGCACGCAAAATTTCACCAATATTTTGTGCTTTTCATGGGAAACAAATCGCTCAGAATTTTGTTCTTGTGCTTAGGATCAGCTAACGCCGTTGCACCTGGCAGCAAAATCTGGCAACCTTGAGTTGGTTAGAACTCTCCTTTATTACGGCGCGGATTCATCCATTCCTAATGGAGTATGTCATAAAATTATTTTAACGCCAATTTGAATATTTCAAAAGTGATCTATTCATGTTTGATTGAAATAAACCAAACTAAGATATATTCTATCTTATTTAATTGAAATAGACGATCAATATATTTTTGCCTTCCTTCTGACCTGCAACATGTGGAAGATCGTTTCTTTCCCGTTGAAGTCCAATTGGCTTAGAGAAATGTGTGTCGGTTTATCGGCATCGACAAAATGGAAAGTGAATGACTGAAACGGCATTCAGCCTAGAAACTTTTAGGCTGGCTCACACGTGGGAAGGTCGGTTGGGAGGATTAAGGGTTTGCAATCACAAATGCAGAGATAGTAAAAACATGAGCTTAAGAATTGATGACATTGATTCAGGGTTGGCAAATAAAATCAATAGTTTATGGTGGGAAATGGCGTTTACGCTTTCAAATCTTAAACAAGCAATTATCGATTCCGTGATAAATCGATCTTAAATTTTCGTAAATCACGTGCCTTTATATTTATAAATATTTGGTTAGACTACATTGAGTAACATTCTTCGATTTTGAGTCACAATACAGAAAATGCCTCTGTAGATTGCTTTGAGTGTTGATCCTTATTTATTTATTTCAAATGGCAGGCGTTTTGATAGCTATCATTAGCCATTTAGCTGACTTCGGGCTTCACAGAAGGAAGGTTCATCAAAGTAGCAGAAAGTCGAGAGGTGGGGTACAGAAGAGCGATTCACAGATGTAAAAGAGGCAGACAGACACAAAGGTAGAGAAAAAGGTAAGATGAGTACTGTGGTGGTAGGGGTCGAATATGACATGCAGAAGGCCCATGGTAGTTTGAAGTCAGAAGTCAACTGCCGGTTAATAGACTTTTTTGCCGTATGAGTATACGTTGCCCAGGATGCACCATGTGGAGGTAAGTCTATCGCACACCCCGAGTGTTCATCCTTTATTCGA